CACACACACACACACACACACACATATATATATATATATGGATACATACATATACACACACACACACATACACACTCACGCACACAACCATTTATACATATATATATAGTATATATACCAAAGAACTCATTTTAGTTTATGTAGCTTCGGCGCGCGGTTGTATTTACGTAGAAAGACACGCTCATCTATCGATTGCTTCCTATGTTCGAGCACAGAACTCAAGCGGTTCTCGCTGCCACCAATACAAATTCACGTTGTATTGATATGTTGCAGTTGGCCGTTGCAAGCTGCGCACACACCAAATCAATAAGACACAATTGTATCATATACTGCAGAAATGGTATTTTAGACGATACAGGACAACTTGAATCTTTTAAAAATGCTGTGTGGACCTGATAAAATAAATACAATCACATTCCGGGTATAAAGAGAACCTTTCGGTTTTATACACAGCTGATTAAATTTCAAGCAGTTGTGTTCGAATGTTTGTTATAGACATCTCGGTCATGATACACGTGAGAGAATCTGGTGGAAAATACTGCACATCATATAAACGTGACTACCATCTTGTATATACACAGACAACTACTAATGACAAAGGACCTTGTATAGGCCCAGTCACATACCAGATCCTTATAGAAGTCTTCATAGCAACGCATATGCTTCATATCACGGTAGCAGCTCAGAGCACAGTATCGCAGGTGACATTTTGGGCAGCTGTATACCCCCTTTCCTTTGTAGCACCTTATAATTGTACAATATATTTGGAATGTGGTAAGAATGCATTGTATAATATATATATATATATATATATATATACGATTGCAACAGTTCGAAGTATTTACAGATTCGTTTAAAACAACAACATTGTAGTCAATGTAGAGCATTCGGTGACCAGCACCTTGCGAATTGAAGATGTCTCGACAGTCCGGATTATTCTTTGTACACTAGTATAAGCTTGACGTATTTCTGATGGTCGACTGTATACGCCGATACGCATGAGCCATATCAAGTGTACAGGCGTATGGACAAGTGGTAGGGTGGGCAGGTGCACGCGTGCATCTCTTGCTTGTTCTTTGTCGTATCGAGAGACTTAAGACACGTGGTCTGGCCTTGAAACTATAGTTATAAAATATACGGTTCACTTTGCTAGCGTATGAATTGATGTAAATGGATGTAAATAAATATGCACATGAACGTCAATGGGAGAGCATTCTGCGTCATTGAATTGATGGGAACCCAAGGTGGTGCGAGCTTCACAGCTTCATCTACACAACCGAAAAGCGTACCTTGATATTGAAGTATCACAAGCACATATGTTAGACTAATGCTCAGCGGATATAGTTAGTATGATTATCGACCGTACAATTGAACCATGTGAGTACTATTTTTACAATAGACTTTGTGAGTTCTCAGTGGCTTTCGTATGTGTATGCACTTATGTTTACAAACAAAAAGGAATCCGGTATTTGAATTAAATCTTAAAATGGGCTCTGTAGTCGTCGAGCTGATAATTAATAAGTTAAAATGTGTGAATTAGCATCACCTGGTGAACGCATCGGACAAGAAAGGACCCCAATTGCTCTAAATGAATGAAGTATCAGATGCATACGCATGCGAATACAATCAGTCACCACAGAACTATAGACTTACACTTCGCAGACACGATCGCTTTCCTTGAACAGGCTCGCATCTCCAGAGCCAATAGAACCGGACCCGACGTTTGCTACGTTCTGAAGTTCGTACAAAGACATTGTTTGATCTTTACATACCTATCAGAGACCTCTAAACAAGTGTGTTTATATGTAGTTATTCTCTGTCAGGGCGTGCATCGGCAAGTATACTAATATAAAGACTACAAAAAGCTGTTTGATGAGAAAGAGTGTGAGTGCAGACCGGTGTAAGGACGTATGTATTTAATTAGCCGATGTAATAATAAAATCATAGCCTCATTCAACATGAAATACAAAGTTATTACACATGTCATAGAAAATTTACCCGCGAAAAAGTACACGTAAGTAAATATGGACGCCGGACGGTACGGTTGCTTTGGGGGGTTTTTTGTTTTTACTAAAAAACAAAACAAAAACAAAACAAGAAAGTGTACAATTTGGAGGCTATAAGAAAGAGTCTCCGGGGGTTTGCGTTTGGCACACATTGATTGTTAAATATTTATATATTTAGGCTGGTGTATATATACTGATAAGCACGCTATTCAGATGTATACCAGAAATAGGTTCTATGCACAAGTCAGGATTGTAGTTTGTAGTTGGTATTACATAGCTTACTTCGCCGGCAGTATCTTGAATCTACTACCTGGCAACGGTCAGCCGTGATAATAATCTCAGCTTACTGGAAACTCGACCCGAATACACCTTTACGTGACATATTTAGATACTTTTGAGCAGTTTTTGTTGCATTCGAGTGTATTGAAATATATTTGTTATTGAAGTTGCGTCAAGATGGATTTCGCGTCAGTTATGAAAGCTGAGCTGGAGGCACAGAAGCAGAAAGTCGAAAAGAATAAATCGGTATGTGTATTGACTTCGATGTGTACTTGTGTCTATGCTTTATTTATCGACGTGCATAGCGTAGAGAATTATGTTTTCATCAATTCCTTGTTAATACAGGTATTTCCATCGACTGGTTGTATATTCGTTGTACAGTTGGTCATGTACATGCACTCACACAGTTTCATACGCACGCACTCCATAAGGTAATTATATTTTATATTCCATCCCATATATATATATATATATATATATA